AGATTCCCCTACGTCTATCTTTTTATGTCTTCCATTTTCCATGTATCAGTTGCTTGTTTGAGCCGGTTCGTCAGCTGGTGATGCCAGGGTACGCGGATCGCAACGAATGGAAGAATTTATTCTCCGCGATCAAGGCTGTCTACGGTCCCACATCCAAAGCAGCCGTTCATCTCAGCGCCGACGGCAATACCCTACTCACCGAGAAGACACCAGTTCCTCAGCGATGGGCCGAGCACTTCAGAATCGTCCTCAACCGCCCCTCCGCCATCTCCGACGCCGCCATCGCCCATCGGCCTCGAGTAGATACCAACGCCGACCTCGACCTTCCGTGCAGCAGCTCTCAAGCGGGAAAGCGCCCGGATCGGACGCGATCCCCGCTGAGATCTAAAGGCACGAAGACCCCCAACTCATGGATCATCTGACGGCGCTCTTCCAGGAAATGGGGGGTCAACACGGAGAAGACGGTGGTTATGCACCAACCGCCACCCGACAATGCCTAAGTCGCAGCCCAAATCAACGTGAACGGCACCCAACTGCAAGTCGTGGACAATTGCACCCTCCTGGGCAGCACCTTCTGCCGCAGCACCAAACTTGACGATTAAGTGGCCCGCCGGATTTGCAAACCCGTCCAAGCCTTCGACCGTCTGCAAAACAGCGTCTGGAGCCGTCACTGTCTCCATCTAAACACCAAACTGAAGATGTACAAGACGGTCATCCTGCTGACACTACTGTGTGGAGCGGAGACCTGGACGGTCTACGAGAAGCAAGCGCAAAGACTCCGTCATTTCCACCTTCGACGGATATTGAAGGTGGGGCGGAAGGACCGCATTCCGCACACGGGCGTACTGGAATGGGCAGGAATCCTCGTCAGCTACGTCATGTTGAGACAATTGTAACTGCGCTTGGGCGGCTATCTTGTGCGGATGGACGACAACCGGCTACCTGAACGGCTCTCCTAGGGAGATGTCACCACGGCTTCCCGCCGACATGGATGCCAAGTCCGCCGCCACAAGGACATTCTGAAAACTTCCTGAAGCGTCTGCAAATCAACCCGACCAACTAGAAGACCTCGCTCGGGACGGACTGTCCTGGAGAAGGCCAGTGAAGGCAGGCGCAACAATCTACAAAGCCAACCGCATCACCGCCGTCAAAACCAAACGCGAAGCTCACAAATCTCAATTGTCCCCACCCCGCAACGTCAACGCTCACAACCTGCCCACTATGTCAGCGGACGTTCCGGCACCAATCGGCCTTATTGGACATCTTCGAACCAACTGGAGCACCCGGACGACACCATCCGATATCTCCCCGTCCAGCTCTGCCTCGCTCCTACGTAGACCATCAGCACGGACCGCACACCTGAGCCTCCACTGCCAACCTCCATCACCTCAACGTCCGCTGCAGCGGCTCCTGCACCCACCACCACTGCACACAATCGTGACACACAGACAGACATCAATTTTACCATCGTTAACACCAGCGATGTGGACTCGATCCATACCTGTCCTCATTGCAATCGCACCTTCATCTCACACACCGGCCCGGTCGGTCACAAACGAATCCATCGCACAGAGGCTGGCAGACCAGTGCCTGGAGCGCCAACCTACATTCGCCGCGTCCGCCTCCATTGTCCCCACTGGCCCCGCACATTCAATCATATGTGTATCCACGAATGCGGAATTGACCGCACTCCCGACACATCTAGCACCTCTTGCACATCCATCATGCCTAGCTCAATCCACACCCGCCGCCAGGCACACCCAGCAACAACTCCACCACAATCAACACATCTTGCACACCTCGTCGCTCGGCATGTCCGCCATCAATAGCTCCACCGCTGCCACCATCTCAGAAACCGACACCGACATCGCCGACTTTTCCTGTCCACACTGTCCTCGTACATTCACCTAGCATATCGGCCTGGTCGATCACTTTCGAATCCATCGCGCAGAGACCGACAAACCAGGACCTGGAACACCCACATACACTCGCCGCATCCGCCTCAACTGCCCTCACTGTACCCGCACATTCACCCACCGCACGGACCTATTAGGCCACATGCGCATTCACAAAAACCTGTGGCAGACAACCACCGGCTACAAAACATCTTCACATCTTCCCCACCAGTACCTGCATCACACAACACCACTACCTACCACAAACACCCAAAATGCCACCCCTCACACAGGTGGGTAGTGTGCTTATCGGCTCTTCTGCTGCATGTCTGCTCCGAGTCCGAGACTATCACGGTGCGCCGAGCACCGTGCCTTGGAAGGCTGCTGACTAACGCCCAAACTCAGTTCACGCAGTCTGCTCAGTTATGTGTTTGTTTGCGTGGAGTGGCGGACTGGTGGACATAGAGCCAGGCTGGAACGGCTCTTTCCCAGCGTGAGCTCCGGCATTCTCATGGATGTGAGATGTATGCCACCGAACCTCCGTTTCGTGAAATCTTGGTGTTTGTGTCTGGGGGGTCAGATAGTGCATGTGACACGCGCAGACAAGGTCACTGGATAGCTCAGTCACCGCACCCATTCCTCGCACCTATCAACTGACCGGCTCGGACAGTGGCTGGGGCCTGGGAGTGGGGAGGTAAAGGGAGGCCGACGACTCACCTCATTCTCCTCGCTATAAACAATCGGACGCGCTTGAAGCTATCAGGGTGCGCTAAAAGCCGTGGCTTGGGAGATCGTCAATTGACGGGATAACTTGGACCTCCGAATCAGCCCAGTGTTGTGTGTTTGTGCGTGGAGCTGCCGACTGGTGGTCTAAGAGTCAGGCTGCAATGGCTCCCTCTTAATGTGGCTTTTATGGCACTCCCACTCCGTGGGATCCAAGCTAGGTGTGACGTCACGCCTAGGTGCGACTCCGACCGTGCCAGCCACCCTTTTGTCGTTGGTCCAAATCCTGATCATTTGCTGTGGGGACCAGAGGGTGTGGAGTGGAACGCCAAGGGGCGGACTCGATCATGCCCTCACCACCTCCGGTCTTTTTGACTATGTCTTGACACCGGGTTAGATGGGGGAGGTGTGAAGAGCGCGGTAGATGCTGTGAAGATCTACAGTCATTAAAAACTAAATCACGCGCAAGTCACCGCGTCTGCGTCACCTTACTGTGGAACACACGGTGGACATCGTCAGCAACGACGGTCGAAATATCGGCAGCTCCAATAAAACAGTCCGAGTAAAGGTTATCTTTCTAGGTGTTCAGTCAAATATGGCATTATTAGGCAGGCTGGATACAGCTATCGACGTGGACGACTCCTATGCATCTGCTGCTGTCGACATTGCAGGAACGCAGCGGATGACGGAAACCTGCATTCAGACAGCCAGCCAAGTGAACCTGAGCATTAGGTGCACGTTGTGAGCTTAGGATATGAAAAGCATGCCCCCGATGCGAACGCATAGATTCAGTATCAACCAAACCAGAAGGCGATTAAAATTGGTCGGCATAAAATCCTCAATCTGTCCAGTCAATAATATTGGGTGCTCACTATAACGGCGTGGGCGTGTCAGAGCGCAGCGATTAATGATGAGAAGTTTCCCAAACCAAAAGTCGGGCAGACAGAAGTAGTAGGACGGCTTTCACTCTAGTCGAAGAGTAAGGTTGTGGTGGAGATGGTGGTGGCCGCACAGGGCGACGGAGTGAGGGTGAGGCTGGGCTCGGTGGGTGGGTTGGATACAGTGGGTGTGTTGGAACTGCGGTCAATTCCGCTCTCGTGGATGCGCATGTGGCCGAATAGGTCCATGTGATGCCTGAAAGTGCGAGGGCAGTGTTGACAGTGGAGGCGAGTGCGGTGGGTATAGCATGGTGTTCAAGGCACTGGTTCATCAGCCTCTGTACGATCAATTTGCAAGTTACCGACCAGGCCGATGTGTGAGGCGAAGGTGCCGCCGCAGCGAGGGCAGGTGTAGTCCTGGTCCTCACATCTGATGTCCACGGTGGTGGTGTTGATGGTTCAGGATGTGTGAGGATTGGGTGCGGTGTTTATGTGCGTGGCAGGAACCACAGAGTCAGGCTTTGGAACAGGGGGGTGGAGGAGGAGGAGGAGGAGGAGGATGGAGGTGGTGGTTCAGAAGAAAAGACATAATTAGTTGGCGGCTGAGAGGACGAGGAAGAGGTGGGCGAGGAACGACGGTTGGTGCGGTCTGAGAGGCGCAGTTAATCCGAAGGTGCCCAATAAGTCCAGTTCGTGCCCGGAATGTCCGTTGACACCGAGGACACGTTGGAAGCGGTTGTGCGTTGCGGAGTGGGCGCAGCCGTGATTTGCGTGCTTTGCGTTTGACTTTTGGCGGCCCGATTCGGCTGGCTTCGTAGATCGCAGCGCCTGTCTTCACTGTCCTCCTCCAGGTCGGTCGGTCGTGGGCGAGGTCTTCCCAGATGGTCGGGTTAATTTGCAGACGCTTCAGGGAGGACTTCAGGGTATCCCTGTATCAGCGAATTTGACCGACTTGGCGGCGAGAACCCGTCGCAACGCCTCCGTAGAAGTGTCGTTTGGGTAGTCGCTCGTCGTCCATGCGCACCAGGTGGCCGCTCCAACGCAGCTGCATTTGTCTCAGCATGGTGCAGATGCTGAGGATTCCTGTTCGCTACAGTACATCAGTGTCGGGGATTCGATCCTGCCAAATCAGCCTCAGGATGCGACAAAGACAACTGAGATGGGAGTGGTTGAGTCGGCGTGCCTGCTTTTTTACACTGTCCAAGTCTCCGCTCAGTACAACAGCGTCGGGAGGATGACGGCCTTGTACATCTTCAGCTTCTTGCTGAGCTGGAGACCATGATGATTCCAAACTGTGCTTTGAAGGCGACCGAAGGTTTGACTGCCTTTTGAAATACTTCGGGTGACTTCATCATCAATTTTGATGCTGCGGGAGAGAGTGCTGCCCAGGTACGGGAAGTTCTCCACCACTTGCAGTTGGGTTCCGTTCACGCTGGTCTATGGCGCATTGAAGGAAGGGGCTGTGTTGGGTGACGTTTGATGCATGACCACCGTCTTATGCGTGTTAATGACCAGGCCGAAATTCTCGCAGGCTGCGGAGAAGAGGTCCATGCTCCGTTGCATCTCCTCTTCCGAGGGCGCAGTCGTCGGCGAAGAGAATTTCGTGAACGGTGATTGTGGATACGCGCGATTGAAAGTGTATCCGCCGCTGATTGAGAAGGTGACCGTCCATCCTGTAGGCGATGCGGATCCCGGGGCGTTCATCACGGTAGGCGTCCAGCAGCATGGCAGAGAGCATGAGACTGAAGAGGGTAGGCGTCAGCACGCATCCCTGCTTCACTCCGTTGGTCACTGCTAATGCCTCGGAGACAGCTCCGTTGTCCGTGACTCGCGCAATCATGCCGTCGTGCAACTGACGCATCATCTGGATGAATCGCTCCGGACAACAGAATTTCTGCATGATCTTCCACAGTCCTTCAAGATTCACCGTGTCAGGTTCACGAAGGTAGAGTACAGGTGGGTCCGCATATCCTGGCACTTCTCCTGAAGTTGACGGGCGGCAAAGATTATATCCGTGATCCCGCGATGACGGCGGAAGCCGCACTGGCTTTCCGGTAGAAGACCCTTTTCTAGATGCTTATTTAGGCGGTTGAGGAGGATGCGATCGAAGATCTTCCCGGCGATGCTCAGCAAGGAGATGCCACAGTGATTGTCGCAGAGCTGGCGGTTTCCTTTTTGCTTGTATGTATGTACGATGATTGCGTCTTTTAAATCTTGCGGGACTTCACCTTGACGCCACATCACCTGGAAGAGCGCACTCAGGTGATCCATTAGTTGGGGCCATCGTGCTTGTAGACCTCAGCAGGGATTGCGTCCGATCCGGGCGCTTTCCCGCTGGAGAGCTGCTGCACAGCCCTGATAGTTTCCTGGAGAGAGGGCGGGAGGTCGAGGTCCACGTTGGTCTCCACTTGCGGCAAACGCTCAATGGCGGCGTCGGATATGGTGTTGGGGCGGTTGAGGACGCCTCGGAAGTGCTCGGCCCAGCGTTGTAGCATTTGTGTCTTCTCAGTCAGGAGGGTACTGCCATTGGGGGCTGAGGAGAGGAGCAATGCCTTTGGTCGGCGGACCGTAGACAGCTTTGATCGCGGAGAAGATGTTTTTCCATTCGTTGCGGTCCGCGTACCCTTGGATCTCCTCAGCTTTGCGGACCAGTCCAGATGTCCTGCATCTCGCGCAGTCGCTGTTGAAAGGGGCGGCGGCTGCGGTAGAAAGCAGCTCTGTGGTCGCCGGTGGGGCGGTCGATGTAGGCTTTGTGTAGGCGGTTCCCCTCGGCGAGCAGGTTGCTGATGGTGGCGTCGTTGTCGTCGAACCAGTCTTGATGTTGGCGGCGTGCGCGAACGGGGACGGATAGCGCCGTCGACTGGACTGTGTCTCGTAGTTGACACCAGCGGTTCTCCACGGAGGCGTTCTCGGCAGCGGCGGCAGTGGCTGCGATCGGAAGGCTGTCTAGCCTCTGAGCTAACTCATCGCTGAAATGAAGGCGGTGAGCGGGCAAAGACAACAAGACAATGTTCAGCTTACCTGGGGGTTTGCTTAGCTTGTAGGCGAGACTGTAGGCGAATACGCATCTTCGAGATGACGAGGCGATGGTCGGTCTACCCGTCAGCACCCGCGATCGCCTTTGTCACCAGCACGTCCCGCTGGTCTCGCCTCCGGACGAGGATATAGTCCAGCAGGTGCCATTGACGCGACCGAGGATGCCTCCAGGTGGCCTTCTCTCGCTCCGGCAGAGAGAAGAAGGGGTTCGTCAGGATGGGGCGATGTTCTCAGCAGGTGCGGAGAAGCAGCAGGTCATTGTCGTTTGAGCCGCGGAGACCATGGGGACCCAGCACTCCTCTCCAGGCAGCACGGTCTGTGCCGACGCGGGCATTAAAGTCCCCAAGGACAATCAATTTGTCCGCCTTCGACACATTCTCTAAGACGGCGTGCAGGTCCTCGTATAATTTGTCACTTGCGTCGTCGGGGCTGGTCATTGGGGAGCGTAGGCGCTGATGATGGAGACGAATTTGTCCCCCCTCCCCGAAGAGGCAGACGAAGGCTCATCAGGCGATCGTTGATGCTCCGCGGCAAACAGGGTAGTCGTCCCACGATGCCGTTCCGGATGGAGAAGGCGACACCCGCGTCACGTCGCTATGCCCTGAGGCGACCGCTCCAGAAGAAGGTGTAGCCGGCCTCCACCTCCTTCAGTTGATCTTGTTCAGAGAATCGAGTCTCGCTGAGTGCGGCGATGTCCACCTTGTAGTGTGCCGACCTCCGTTCCGATCGGTTGCTCCTCGGATTGTCTAAAAGGGAGCGAACATTCCAGGCTGCCAGAGTGAGCGGGCTCACCCTGCCAGTCTGGTGACAGCGAGTGAGGCGACGGGAAGGAGATGGAGAAGAAGGTGACGAAGGATAAGAATAGGCAGAAGAATAGGCAGAGGAAGAGGAAGAAGAGGTAGGATGAGGAGAATGAGTATGGTTGTTATTGTTGTTGTTGTTATTGGTATTGTTGTTGTTTCGATTTTGATTGTTTCGACCATGATAAGACGTCTGCGGCCCTGGCTAGCCTGGAGACGGCGTGGTACCCAGCAATGTTTAGGCCACCTTTTCTAGGCCCTTCCCCTCGTGGGGGCTGGCAGTGCCATCCCTGAATAGGGCTGCCATGTGCCGTTGTGGCACGGCCGAACTCCACTATGGGACCACGACTTCGGGTTGTAGTGGAGAGCGACTCGAATTCGCCGTAAACCGCGGTCTCCGACGGCGTAGGTGGGCGCGGACTCACCCAACCAGTCTGGCGACGAGTGGGGCGGCGGGAAGGGGGTGGAGAAGAGGATGGCTAAGGAGAATAATAGGCAGAAGAGTAGGCAGAGGAAGAGGAAGAAGAGGCAGGGTGAGGAAGAGAGAGAGAGTTGAAGAAGGAGACACGATCGCTGGGACTAGAGCTTTATTAGCCTGACGTTTCGGATTCCCGCTCGAACCCATCATCAGACACAACAGTAGATACGGGTGGTTCACGCACAAGGGGCTGCAGTATTTATAGGATGCAGTCGCCATGCTACCGCATACCTATGAACATTCGCGGCTCCACCCTTCATCCGGGATCCTCACACTTGGTGTGCTAATTGTTTGCTGGCTGACATTCGCGTCGTTAGTTGCTACAATTTCATCACATGCGTCGGGTGTTGGTGTGATGATTGCTCGACCATATGATCCACCGACCCAGGAGTTTGCAAATTTGTTCACTTGCGCGCTCCCCGCGTGGCTAATTACTCTGCCTAGACGAAGTTTCAGCACAGAGTATGGAAGGGGAAGTTCATTGCACTTGTTAATTGACTGGGGTCCAGTTAACCATGATTCAAGCAGCTACCGGCTCACGCGATTGTCACCTCTTGCGAGAATTTCGACCTCGTCGAACTTGAATGTGTGGCCGGATCTCGTCGAATAAGCCGCAACTTGAGAGCTGGCGTCATTTCTTCGCACTGCTGCAGCGTGTTCGGCTATTCTCGTTCGGAGCTGTCTTCCGGTTTCTCCGACGTAGTTGCTTTGTCCGCAACTGCACCATATCCGATAAACGACTCCAGACGTTTCTAGCCGTGGCAGTGGGTCTTTCGGTTTCATTACCTGACGCCTGATGGTTACCTCCGGTCTGTGTGCAACTCCAATTTCAAGTGGTGCGAGAAGGCGGCCGACAGCTTCCGAAACGTTCTTAACATACGGAAGTGCCCGCCAAGATTTGGTGTCCGTGCGGTTAGGCCTTTCGTCCCTTTTGCGTATGCACCGGTCGACGAAGTTGCGCGGGTAGTCATTGGCTTTGAAGACCCGTCGGAGGTATTGTAGTTCGGCAATCTTGTCTTCCGGCTCACTGCAGTGCGTTTCGACACGCCGATAGAGCGTCCTTACACAACTGCGTTGGTGGCTGATTGGGTGGTTGCTGTTGAATTTCAGTACTTGCATCGTATTTGTCGCTTTCCTGAGCACTTTGGTCTTTAGTCCACCACAATCTTTGCTGCAAAGTAACAGCAGAAATGTAGGCACCAGCGGAGAGAAGCTTAACGCAGAAATATTTGGGTGGGCAGGAAAGTATAGGGCAGAGATTAATCACTGTCGGACAAAAAGTGACGGCCACGCTGTTAAAGGTCACGCGACATTCCAGTCAATCACAGCTTTCTGTCAATAAAAAAGCGAAGTTCAGATTTAAGGATTGTAGAAGTAGGTTGGTTCTGCGTTCGATTTGAACAACACGCACCAGCGAAGAGTAAACCGTTTTTGTCGAAACAAACCTAGCGGAGAAGCCATATGCTCTGGTTTCTGTGAAGAAATAATACAACTAAACGAAAGAGTATTTCATTTTAAACAACTTTACCGAATTGGAGAACTCAATTATTAGCGGTACCAACCGACCAAAGAGAAGATAAACGCGCCCCATGGCATTACCAGGATTAAAAACAGGCGCCACCGCGGCAAGACTAGTACGCGGATTGCCAAATCCGCTTCCGACGGACTACATGGGGGGGCGGGGCAGGAAATGCGACACAGTGAATGCTGTTGGATGATGAGCTAGTTTCCGACCTTGAGGCGGGTGACTGATTCGGCTGGAGAAAATCTATGCCGGTTGACAGTTCGGTGGAGGAGATGAAGGTAGGCCACAGAGTCATTACATTTTCGCATAGACGTGGGAACAAAGGTAACATAGATCTTGGGCGAACAATGTTGGTGAATACCGCCGATGACGGTACACTGACATTCCCTATTAAGGGGGCGCCAGCGCCTGTTATGAGAGGGCTGGCAGCAGTTCCCAGAAAAGCGAGCGGGAATCCAGGACCAACTGCCTAATTAAGAGGGAATAGAGCTAGAAGGAGAAACCCCGAGCAGTCTCATATGCAGTTGCTGCATATCATGTTGGGTTGTTCAGAGCAACGGGGACGCGAAAGTCTGGATGTCCTCACGTCCCCCAAGGATTGTGCCATCTCGAGAGATACTCCAAGACGCGATGACATACGGTTAGCCACAGTCAGCAGAATTTTATTTGCAACTACCTAGTGGGCCCTGTGCATACTGAATTTACCGTAATAGAACATGTGGGGAGCTAACAGAGATGTAGAGGTCAGCTAATCACATTGTTGAATTAACCCATGAAGAGAGCCAATGGAACGCGTATCAGACTTTCAGACAAACGCGCGTTCCTCTAAAGTACCATGACGGCGGTGGCGGCAGCGATCACCACCACAATCATCCCCCCCCCCTACTCCTCGTCGTCGTCGTCGTCGTCGTCGTCGTCGTCGTCGTCGTCGTCGTCGTCGTCGTCGTCGTCGTCGTCCTCCTCCTCCTCCTCCTCCTCCTCCTCCTCCTCCTAATGATCATCTCCTGACCATGTCAATCGGACATGGTGCGATGGCGAGGCCAATAACCTGGGTTACTACTCACTGGCTGTCATTGCGCCTTGAAATAATGCATGAAACTAACGTTAAAAAGGGGTTAGCTCGGTTTCAAGAGTGAAAAGCCCACAAAAACCGCCTTCACGCTCCCATCATGTGATAATTTAGAGATTATCTCGGTCATTGTAGCGATTAGTGTGAGTGGAACAGTCAAGAAAAATTTGCATTTCTCGTTCCGGATACCACATACACTCCTTTTTGTGAGTCGGTGGGAAAACGACTTGACTAGGAAAAGATCGATAATTTGGACGCTGAAAACGGCAAGATGAATCTGTGATACACGATACGAAGGCAGGAGGGGATTTGTAAGTATGTAAATCTACCTAGGGAGAAACGGACTTGAGGGTCACTTCACTCTTTCCGAACTCTCCTTGATCTGAGGGCAGAGTCAAGAAGCTGGAGATCAGTGTGGACGCGGTGGCTTACAATGCTATGTGGCCGGCCTAGGCGTGCCACACGCAATCTGTTCTCCACTCCCACACTCAAGGAGGAGTTTCTGATCTCACACTTGCCGGGATGTCATTGAGGTCAAACTAAGGAACCATTTCATTCTGGTTCTCTGCCCCGAGGAGGAAGGAATTATCCCGTTAATTTCCAACTATTCAGTTCATGACCGCTTGCGTGTCCTAACAGTTACAAACGACGTTTATTTACTTAAGTAAATAACTATCCAATGATATGCCGTAAAGCATGGGAAGACCTATGCGTTGTTGATGTTGATTGGTAGGTGGGGGACTAACGGTATTTCAGTGGTCACTTTTGTTTTCACACATGACAGTTCGATCGTCGTTTCCGACGATGTCCACCGTGTGACTCAGAGCAGGGTGAGCGCAGGGACGGTAACTTTCGCGCGAATTAGCTTGTAGAGATATCAGGCTTGCGCTGCGTCTTCCGTACCCCCTCCTGGGCCCGGTGTCCAGAAAGTCGAGAAGACCGCATGCGGGAGAGGGCGCAGGTGTCCGACGCGGCGTGAACCCGCACCCCGGCTTGCCACCACACTGTCTGGCAAGAACACAAAGGACTAGGATTTCACATAGCCAGAAAGGGGAAGCGGGTCCTATCCAAGCTAAATGGGAGTGGTATAAAGGCCACATTAAGAAGGAGTCATTGTAGCCTGACTCTCAGTCCATCGAGGAGGGCCGATTTACCCAGTC